TCAAACTTACCTTGCGCAAACTTCCTATGGGAAAACTCCTCTGGCTTCCTGTTACACGTAGAGGAAGGATCAGAATTGGTGCCCTTTGATTGGCAGTGCCCACGTGCAAATGAAGGATTGAAAAGTGCATCTTCTGATTGGTCCATGAGCAGCACCAGATTCAAGTGAAGGATTGATAGTGGCGACCTTCTGATTGGTCAGAATAGCACTTTCCAGCCACGGTGGTGCACTGTACAGGGAGTGTCCCCCTCTGTCACCCTGTCTTAGTGTTGTGCTGGCTCGAAAACCCTCTCCAGATGAGTGGGGGACAGCACAAGCCACCAGCCTTTGCTTTTGTTGGAGGGAGTGAGTCACTGTCTGAAGGTGTCCCCCAGAAATGGAGCTCTGCCTTCAAAGAGCGGCGGGTGTCTGCGGCTCTCAAGCACAGATGGAAACAGCAGCGGGACCCGGACTGCCGCCCTTCAGGTCCGCGTCTTGAAAATTGTGTTTTCATTTTGGCTTCAAGCTCCGGGCCAGGCAGGTGTCTGCTCCCTGCCTCCATTAACAGCCGGGGCTAGAGCCTGCCGTGGAGCCAGGGTCGAGCGTGTAAGGCTCCCTGGAGCGTCCAGATGAGCAGCGTCTGAGTGCGTCTCACTCTCTGTCCTGTGCAGTTGTGACCTGAGGAGTATGTGTTTCTTTTCTGATTGACGAGTAGCATCGTAATGTGTACTGTGTAGCACATGCATGTGCATCGTTTGGTGGATGCTTGCACCTGTCACACGTCCGTGTCACCTCCACTGGGATTAAGGTGCACAGTTTTCCTGCCTTCTGGCATCTCCTCTGCACTCTTATCAAAGTGGTGGCTGCTTTAGCTCCAGATTATGTATGTGAGACACTTCCAGGGCACTGAGTGTAGCGCTAATTTGCTCTGACTTTATTTGTGTGTAACCTGCCCGTGTAGGGACACACTACTGCATTCGGCTCCTTAGTTATTATCTACCACTTGGGTAGTTTCTATTTTTTCATTCTTATAACAAAAACAGCCCTGAACATTCTCATGCATTTTGTTGGACATATGTGCTGTTCTCTTGGATAGGAGTTCAGGAGAATTTCTGGGTCATTCTGTAGTCTGTGTTCAGCTTCAGTAGATGAAGCCAAACCAATTCCAGATTCCAAATTGAAGACACCACCACCCAGGTCCTGGGGTTCTGAGTTACTGCACATGCCATGCAGACAGTTTTGATGCTGACAGCCTTCACCTTTGACAACTGTCTATCCATGTCTCTGTTTTTTTATAACCATCCTTGTTACTAACTGCCAAATAAGTGATGGAGTAGTGATGTCGTACTAAACAGTCCACTCTTACGTTCAAATGAGAGTTGTTTGAGACTAGGAATGCAAACATTATTATAAGTTAAGTATTTACTTATGATTTTAGAAAAGTAATTAAAGTATCTGGTAGTCTGACTTGATTCTTGTTTATAAAGATGCTTTTCATGCCACACACAGATAGAGAGGTGATAGATAGGTAGATAAATAACCAGAGTCATAAACACGGTGGTACTTTGGCACTCACTGCTGATTTGTTCCAGATGTGAAGAGCACCAGATAGTTTTAGCTGGAAAAGGTAGCTGGTCACAGGCAACCAACACAAGTCCTAGCTTGTGCGTTGAGTACCAAACAAGTGCCCAGTACCGGGACAAAATTTTCACATCGGAATGCACTGGATACCAAAGGATATAAAAGCAGTCGAGTGCCAAAAGCTGGCTGTACCACATATAATGAAGAAGTGTATAGATTCATGAGATGCACTAAGCTTGTATGGTTTTAAGCTGTGAGCTCAGCTGTTGCCAACACAAAGGATGTAAGTGCGTCTTATTGCGTGCACGTATTCCTCCTGCAGTTGTTGATGAATGGCCCCCTTCTCAGTTCCTTTCCTGATTTCCACACAGGGCAGGGTGAGAGGGATTTATGCCATGCTCAGGACAGGGGGTTCTGGGGCATGCTGTGCAGGACTTAGGACCATAGGACCTAGAGCTGCTGGTCTGATTTCAAGTCCTTGATCCACCTGATACTAAGGCGTGTCGTGATCAAGCCACCTCTTGTCCCCATCTGCTCCTTCTCCCTTGCAGAGTAGGAGCATCACCATGTGTCCCTTGGGGGCTCTAGAGGTCATGTGAGGAGTAGTTTCAAAGGGGTGGTGAGGGGGATGGTGCAGGTGCCCAGGACCATGGCAGCCCCAGTACTCACCCTCACCTGGGCACTTGCCTACACGTCCAGATGGGTTATCTAAAGCGCTCACCTCGGGGGTCCCAGGGTCTGCACTTCTCCAAGGAGAAAGGACTGGAGGAAGAAGTGGGTCCCACAGTACCACCAGGGACAGAGGACAGAGGATGGCGGCTGCAGTGGTCCCCAGCGTTTCCCTCCACCCATCAACAATAGCTGACTTTTTCCAGAATCCTGGAGTTTAAGAAAGTGCTAAGCTTTATCCTTTCTCCGAGGAGTAAGGGATGGGGACCTCCCAAGCATGCGGCTCTGGGGCCCACTTTTCGCTGCCAGGCGAAGCTAAGGAATGGGCAGAGTTGCCCATGCACCTTGCCAGTGAAGAACCCAAGCAAATGAATGAACTCAGGTAAAGCAGGCTGGTCAGAACGTCAGTGGGAGAGCTGGCAGTTGCTTCGGGATCACCGGTGTCCCCAGAGACTTCCACCCAGCTGCTACCCAGGCCCATGAGCATGGACAGCGAGCTTGTTTGAGCCCGGAATGCATTCATGTGCAATCCTCACTCACTGTCTCTCCTGGTCTGTGATCAGCCTAAGAGGCTGATTCACCTTTAACTCAGACTAACCATTTTACACCAACCGGCATCAAGCTATTGCCCCTACAGGCTAAGTGCTCGGGTAACTCTAGGGATCCGGCACAACTCTAGGGATCCACCCCTGTGCCATGTCAGGACACTGGTCAAGTTCTCAGCAGCGCTGTCTTCGATTCAACCTTCCCCTACCTGTGCCCACAAATATGCAAGTTGCGATCCAAACCAGACCAAGGGCTTGACATTTAGTGTTTTGTCTGACATAAAAGGTGCTGTATTTCACCAGCAAGCTAATGCAAGTTAGACAGTTTCCCTGTCCCTCAGGAAAATCCAGGAGGATTCTGAGGCAGAATTCAGCTAAAAAGGACAGTCTCACGGATGTGCTGACTTTCCTGAAACATGGGAGCCGGGTTGGTCAGAGGACCTTCTTCTGTTCCTCCTTCCCGAGGTTGAATGTGGGGCTACATCCTGGGTCACAGGAGTCAGGACATTCCTGAAGCCCTGGCCGCAGAGCTGGCCAAAAGCACAGCAACTGTCCAACCGAAGCTGCTGAGGACACAGACACATTTTCCATCGGCCCTCATGATGAAGTGTACTTTTAGGTGAACGTGTTCTGTCTGCAGGAATTGAGGAAGTACTCCTTCTAATGCATTACACTGGCATCTAATTTTTATCTGGACTATAGATTTTCCTTCTTTATCAGCTTTTTCACATTTTAATTTTATAAGCAAATATATTTGGAATCTGATAAAATGTGGAACAAATCATTTAAGAGGCGTGCCCTTTCAACCAAATGAGCTAACTGGGAGCCACTGGCTAATGGTCCATGTTCCCAGTCTGGGTCAGGTTCCTCAGTGGATTTCCTCACCCTCCTGTGCCCTGGAGCTGTCACCTGTCTCCCGCAGGTCCTAACCGTGCTGAGCCCCATGAGCAGAAGAGGAAAGGAGAGAGCGCATGTGTGGCATCTGGGTCTCCACTGCCTTTCCTTAAATTCCGTCAGAGCACTAAGCTGGAATGGTAGGGCCCCTGCGGCAAAGTCAGAGAAGTCAACCAGCGGTGAACATCACATAGTGCTTCGTGTCCCTCCTGCTTCACTGTCTTCGACGCGGGAAGTTCAGAGAAGGCTTTTTTGCATGAGCTCCTTCCCGTCTGTGAAGCTCGCATCTCTACGATATACAACAGATAACCAGCAGACAGGATGCTGCAGTGCAGGACCATCATTCTGCATTTCTGAAGGAGAAGCTGCTCATTTAAGTGATACCTTACAGCTCAAAGGATTATGATTATGCGCCACATGTGAAAATCAAAATAGAGGTGAAAAACCAGAGTTGGCTGCCCACTTGGTTCAAAGCAGGTAGAAGGAAAGAATAAAACAAAAATTTAGTCCCTAAGGTGAACAGCGTGTGGTCTCTGTAAGAACCTGTCCCCACAGCGGAAGGCCAGGACCCTGAGGCCCATGCTCGGGGGCATGGTGGGTACCCTCATGGGCACCACAACTCCATGTCCTCTGAGATCCCTTTGCAAGGAGCAACCCAGGTCCAGGGCTCCCGATGTTCAGGGCCACTGCCACTGAGGTGATTCTGCCTTCCCGTCCTCAGCCACCATGTGGACCCGGTCATCACAACTGTCCTGATTCCGAGAGAGTGCACCCTGCGTAACAAGACTGGTTCATTTAAATTTCAATCTTCGCATTCTCTGTGCCTCGTTTGTGAGAACCCTGTTTCCCAGATCACAATGTAATTTCTGAAGTGGCAAAGTCTGATCTACAAAAGGGGGTGCAGGTGCTCAGCTGAGATTTACCTCACGTTGTCTCTCTGCTCCATGAAGCCACCCCTGTGTCACTGCTGTGGAGCCTGAGGAGACCCAGGAACAGCTGCCAGGAGGCCCCGGACACACAGGCTCACTGCCCTTGGGGACAGGGAGCCCAGGCTGTGGGGACAGAGCCAGAGCTGCCCTGGGAAACAAGTGTTAAGCCATCCACATGCTGCGGCATCTTATACGCGAGAGCCGGGTATCTTTCTTATGCTGTGTGACTCAGCGCCTTTGAAAATCTCTCTTCTTCTTGGCCAGCTTTCAGAGTTCCCCCCAGATTGCGAGGCAACTATTTGCTTATTCTTAGTCCAAGTTGGCAGCGACCCGAGCAGCAGGGAGCGAGGGGCGAGAGGGGCTCCCAGGGTCCCCACTTATTCTGGTGTTTATTTCTTCACAGCACCCAAGCACTGGACATTGGGATACTGGACATCTTTGGCTTTGAAGAATTTCAGAAGAATGAGTTTGAACAAGTAAGTAGGCTTTCTTTTAAAATCTGTAAACTGTCATTGCTTTTCAATTAAATTACTTCTTACTTCAGAGAGACGATTAGTAATTATATTCAGATCCAACTTTAAACAAGTACTGGACGCTTGTGTTTTAAAATGACTGTACTTGCGTTGCTGATCACGCACCACTTTTATGTGATCCTCTAAATAACGGGCAAACTCACACCTGAAAATGTCTCACTTGTTTTCAAAGGTAATGTAAGGTGAAGACCTGAGCTGTGTTCATGGAAATGCAGTTTTTAGCTAGATTGGGGAACAGGGCAAACGTCTTCAGAATCATTGGCCAAACATCAGAATAGAAAAACTTTTTTATTTTACTGGTTGATGTTTATAGATTCATCTCCAGATGATGTTCGTACGTGAGACTATTGGAAACTCACAAACAAGCCCTGGAGAAACATTGATTAGTGTTAATTCACCCACAGTGTAGAGCATTTTTAAAAATACTGCAGTATTTAGGGATCTTCACAGTACTACATACATTACTTTATTAAATTAAGTATATGTAAAATGAAATGTGAAAGGGAGTAGAATACAACTTGCCTTAGTCAGCAGAGAAGGAAAATAGACCTATGAGAAGGCACAGGTGGAAAGAGGAAAACCCAAGCAGCATTTACCATGGCAAGAAGTGTAAATAACCATGGCACTCAGGGAGAATTTTTAATTTGCAATTCCTTAGTTAATATAATTTACAGTTTGTTTAGCTTTATTTTCTTACAGTCCATAATGAGGTGTTTAATGACGTTGGACAAGGTTTTAAATGTAATGTTTGAAACCCAGTTCTGGAACTGTTACTAGTGGACCTTCTCGGTCATGATTATTTGTCAACCCAGGGAAGTGAAACATCTGCAGAGTTGTGAGGTTAAACACAACTACAGAACAGCGGTTGTTGTTCACCATCACAGTACACGTTGTGGAGAAGTGTAGGATAACCACCACTGCTCTTGGGAACACTTACTGAGTGGTTAAAACACAGCAGTCTGGTTTTCACAGCAGCTGTGCTGGGTCCGGTGTGGAGACCCCAATCCTGCTGTCTCCCCCATCCACAGTGATGGGCGCAGGCCGTGTTCTTCACAAAAGTCTCGCTGGAGTGGGACCAAGGAAGTTTCTTTTCCTTTGGTGTGTTCTTGTGCATGAGTAGAAAAGGAGGACTCCTGATTGTTTATCTATTTATTTTTGACTCCAAGTGACACAGTGATGAGCATAAGAAAGCCCCTGGGGAGTCTTTTGTCAGCTGGCATTCAGACAGTGCCCCAAGTCCGTGTGGATTCCTTACGTTTTCACCTTGGAAAACCCAAGCTTCCATGTTTGTCATGAAAGCCACTGTGTCATCCGTGACCTGGCAAGCAGCACATACAAGTCACAGGTGCGGTGATGGCCCGTGAAGTCCTCACTGGGAGCCCCGTTCCAAAGCTGCGGCTCCACACCAGACCCATCTATCTCCGCAGTCTGGGCTGACAGTGAAGGCGACATGACTTTTACATTGTTCTCTTAATCCTAAAACATATCTGCCGTACTGTAAGGACACAAAGCCATTATTCTCTCTTTCTGCTAAATACTTTAAGCATGCATTTCAGAATATATTCATATCCTGAGATTTCTGTGCAAGAAAGAATGGCATTTTTTAAATCTAAGAATGAATCCCTATTAAATGCCAATTTTCAGCTCACATGAGTAAAACGTCAATACCGATTCTCAGGCTTCCATTATGGAAAAGATTTTTTTAAATTACCATTTTTTCTTAGCTGCTATGCACAGTAGAAATGAGGAGTGATTCAGAAGATAAGATTATTTTCTTAGTGGTGAATATGGATTTTACCTTGAACTGGACGTAATAGTTTTTTTAATCCGAACTTCTTTTGAAGGCCTCTGATTCCCTTGTAGCTAACACAAGGCAGACCTTTCATTCTATTGCAAACTTTCAACTAAACATCAAACCTAGAGAGATCATTGCTTTTGTAAGTACTTATTTTATTCTGCTTTGGATTTACTGACTGGATTTATTTGGTTTTTACATAACTGAAATTGAACAAATATATTTCCAATAAAAATTAGAAAGGAATCCTCACCGTGGGGCTCCTGGAGCTTCTTGCTCTGAAGTGTGTGTGTGTGTGTGTGTGCATGTGTGTGGGCACACGCGCACTGAGAATGACCCACCACAGAAGCTGGACAGAGCTTCAGAAGGACACCTGGGGGGACACACGTCCTAAGGTGTCTCCCAGACCTCAGCCTCTACTCCTCTTGTGGAGAGCTCTTCCAGAGTTCCACAAGAGTTCCACTGGCTGAGAGGAGAATTTACTTCACCTCCTGGAAATTCTATTGCCATCTTCTCTGATGTCATCTTGGATGGTGTGTGCAATTATAACAAAGCACCTCAGACTGGTAACTTATAAAGACTAGACCTCACTTGCTCACAATTCTGGATACTGGGAAGTGTAAACTTCAGGGTAGTCTGGTGTCCATGGGTGGAAACTTTGCTGTGGGTCCTCTCTTTGGGGAAGGGTGAGACAACTCTCTGGGGGTCTTTGCCAGTCCATCAGCAAGGGCAGGGCCATCCCGCCCTATCAGTCACCCCCTGAGGACCCGAGCTAAGACACCACCACAGGGTCAGGATTCCAGCACAGGTGTTTTGGAGCAACACCACATTCCAACCCTAGCAGAATTTATTGGACCATTTCTACTCAAACTCTTGACTATAATGAGAATAATTTTATAATTTATGTACCTCCATAATAGTTTGATACTTCAGTGGAGAGAAGTGTACCAGTCCTGCAATACAGCCTGTCCCCTTGACTAATTAAACAGTGGGGTCATTGTTGCTTCACTCTCTGTTATGTAGTAACGAATTTCATGCACCTTCATCCCCTTACTGCGTGGGGTCGGTCTCTAGTGCTGTAGGAACATGTCCTGCAGTCTTGAAGAGGATTCCTCTGCAGTCCCTGCTCCGGCTCAGAGCAGAAGGCGAGTTTCAGGGTCATCCTGACAACGGTGCCCCAGACACAGGGTTCACACACAGCACCGTGGGCAGAGGGTACAGTGAGCCATGGAAGTGGAATGGAGGGAAAAGACTTCTACTTCCAGACAGGACTGCGCATCTAGAAAATCCAAAAGAGCAAATGAGACCACTGCTGCAGACAGTGACGAGAGAACGTGTCAAATCAGCATGCTGTAAAATCAGCATGTGAAAGCAATAGCGTGCATTTTTAAATCACTGGTTAGAAGATGCAATGGAAAGAAGACATATTAACAACTGTTAAAGTATGCAAACAGTCTAAGGGTGGGAGACCTAGCAATAGAAAGTTGTACTTACTGCAGGACCAGACAGGAGGGCTCAGCTGATAACCGTGCTGTCCCTCTCAAGGTGAACTTATAACTCGATGTGACACCACCACAAGTAAAGAATGAATTTGCAATTAGAGCAGGTCAGTTTTATAGCTCCTAGTCAGTAATGAATCTAGGAAGTCAGTATGCATGATTACTGACATCATAAAAAGAAAGGTAACATACAGGGTACGGGGCTCTGTCAAAAATACAGAGAATAATTTTATAACTGTATTACAGCGCAAGACACATTGCCATGAACACCCCGGAGGACCCACGCCCCTCGCCTCAAACACAGGCATCCCGTCATTCTCGCCACTTTCTAAAACAGCTCTGGAGTCCTCTTTCCTGAGGGAAGTTTTGTGGCTGCCTGTCCTGAATCAATTGGAAGCATTTACCTCCCATGGTCATTTGACTTTGAGAAAAGACAGGAGTGCATGTGCCAGGCCTGGTGAACACGGTGGATGGGGACGCGGCGTCATGTTTCCACCCACTGCCTTTCTGCTGGGTGGCGCTTGGCAGTGACAGTAGTATCCCGTATCTTCTTATAATGTCCCGTGAAGACACCCATGGAAGGGGACTCCAGATCTGCTTTGGAAAGTGGTGAGAACGGTGGGATGTGTTCAAAGTGAGGGAGAGGATTTTAGGGGCTTCCTGGCAATGTTTTTGGTTTTGGGGGGGTTGGTACCAGGAATCAAGCTCAGGACCTTGCACTTGCCAGGCAGGCTCTGTTCCCCTGAGCTATATCCCCAGCTCTGTAACATGTTTTCATTTAAACCCACTTCCCAAGTGTTCACACCAGGACAGGAAGAAGGGAAGGAAGGAAGGAAGAAGGAAGGGAGGGAGGAAGACTGAGAGTGCAGAAGAGAAGTTCGGTCTCTTGGATCCCACGTCTGGGCCAGTGCTGAAGCCTTCTTTGGTCACAGACCTAGGGTGTGACACTTCAGGGGCTGTGATTCTTCTTCCCCGGGGTTTTCCCAAGTGGATTTCTCCCAAAAGGCTAAGCGGCCTCTGCAGTCCACTGCCTGATTCCCTCACAGGGTCCCAGGACAGAGAGCCCCAAGGAAGCTGTGGCATTTCCTCTAAGGTGGCTTCAAAAGTCACATTCTTTGACGCCCTCTGCAGGTGGAGCAGTCAGGGGCTTGCCAAGTTCAAGGGCCAGGGCTCAGACAGCCACCTTTGGATGGGGAGGGCTGGGTCCAGCCCAGCCCCAGGGTGGGAGAATCGGGAAAGACCTAGTGAGGACGGCTGCTAGTTTGGTCCTAAATTCATGATCCAGGTAATTTTAATCAGAGTGTCTCTTGTGACAGTACCTATTAGATATCAGTATTGCTCTATCTGCCCATCTGCTGATACACAAATTATTGCCTTTTTAAAAGTTGTATTGCACATAGATTCCAAAATCATAGACTTTTTTTTTTACTTTTATTAGTACATGTTTGTAGTACAAGATTCCATTCACTGTAAGGGACCGGACACGTGCATAACACATGTCAATCCCCTTCTTTTCACGCTCTCCCTCTACCCTCCTTTTGTTTTTCCAGCATCAAATTCATTGATTCATTGTGTAAGACCTTGTAGAGTTAACTGTCATACATACAGATTGAAAAGCAGACTAACAAGCCAAAAAACATATAAAACAT